GACAAATTCTTGAGCATGCTAATTTCTAGTAGTTATAAGAGCCGTAATACAGGATAATGCGACTTCAAATTTAACATGATTCTACCAATTAGTATGAAATTTGTATATTATAACGAATACTCCTTGTAAAAATGAATATTTAAAAAAAACTGATATTAAAGAAAAAAGGCATGCCCGCTGAGTTTCTTGCCAGTTCTTCTCAAGACGGAGGCTAGTTTTTGTGAATTGGCGGTAGTTCTTTTTGACGTTCAACAAGTACTTTCATTTATGTGGAATAAAAAAAATTTGATTTGATTTGAAATACCTTTATTACAACACAAAATATTTGATAGATGCCTGAATCTTACTAAAGACTGTTTCAAGATAGGTTTGTATATTTACAAATTCTGACCAATAACATTAGGACTGCAGTAATTACAACCGCACGGTAAAAGATCCTTCCATTGTCGTTATCTCCAAACATATTATAATTTTAACTTCACATACCACTTCAAAGTAGACGAAACGCAAAATTGCCTATATCAGTGATTATCAAACTTATTTCTTTTACCGCCCCCTTTGAAAATCAATTATTTTTCAGCGCCCCCTATTTTTTATACACCCCTAAAACTTTAAAACCACAATTTCATTAATTTAATTAATAAATGTTGTATTAATTTTAGTAAATGTAGTACCATGTAGTACATATGTATTTGTAGATGCTATTATTGTTTCTTCATATTATTATATGTCCGTACATTGCTACAGAGCGTGTATTTACAAATTTGCTAGGTAAAATGAATTCTTCTCATCAATATGCTTGTTTAAATTCAGAATTACCAAAATAAATTACTAGTTCACTGTACTATTACTATGCTAATTTATTAGAACGAAACTATTTTTGTTGAATATCTTTCTCGTTAATATAAGATTCTCATCGTAAGATAATTAAAAATTTATATTTCGACTAGTAAATAATACTACTAACAATAATAACTTATTAAACTACGAATAAGCTAAACCTGGAAGTCGTAGAGGATTTCATTTATCTGGGCTCCGTCATAGCTAGTAATGGATCCTCCGAAAAGGACTTCAGAAGGCGAATCAGTATGGCAAAGAGAGCTATGTCCCAAATGGACCGTGTTTGGGCGGACAGAAACATCTCGAGGAATACTGATATTGTTCTTTATAGCAAAATAGCTCAGTCTGAGGTGGACTCGTCTTATCTTCTATCGTTGTTATGTTTAAGGGTGCCCCCGAGACCCATAATGCGCGAGAGCCGTCAATCATCTCGTCTCGGAGTACCTCGTGGTGGTACAAATTACAGACGTAATGCATTCTTTATAAGAGCTGCTAGCAGTTTCAATGCTCTAGCTGACTNTGAAGAAGCTGATAACTGGTGATGAAAAGTGGATCACGTACGACAAGAACGTACGAGAAAGGTTGTGGTCAAAGGCCGGTCAGGCTTCACAGACTCTGGCGAAACCCGGGTTAACTCGCAACAAGGTGATGCTGTGTGTGTGGTGGGATTGGAAGGGCATTATACATTATGAGCTGTTACCACCAGGCAGGACCATCGATTTTGAACTCTACTGCGAACAACTGATGAGATTAAAGCAATAAGTTGAGAGAAAGCGGCTGGAATTAATCAACAGAGGGGTGTGGTTTTTCATCACGATAACGCTAGACCTCACACATCTTTAGCCACTCAGCAAAAATTAAGAGAGCTTGGCTGGGAGGTGTTAATGCATCCGCCGTATAGTCCTGACCTTGCACCTTCAGATTTCTACCTGTTTCGGTCTCTTCAGAATTCTTTAGGCAGTGTCAGGTTAACATCACGAGAGGACTGCCAAAACGAATTGTCGCGGTATATTGATCAGAAGCCCCAAAATTTCTATAGCAATGGGATCATGTCCCTACCTACAAGATGGCAAAAAGTTATCGAACAAAATGGTACCGACATACTTTAGTTAAATGTGAATAAACTATATGAAAAAAAATATTCTTAAAAAATGCTAAGAAACTTTTTCCCCAACCTATTATCATATAGAAATAAAATAGTAAACAATGTTTACAATAAGTGAGCTGTTTCGGCTTACTATACTATTTGACATTGGACGGTAAGGGGTAAATTGTAAAAAATAATAATCTAAGACAAGTTATTGAACAATAATTATATACGCATTTCCATTTTATATAAAAATTATGATTCTTACATCAGTAATTTCTTATAAAATGCCCTTATGTTAAAAACAAGAAGAAACTAAAGAAAACCTCAATTTGTGTTAGTTTACGTATGTGTAATATTTTAAGACTGCATGGTAGTTTTTTTTCTAATGTTTAAAATAATTTCTGGTGCAATGTAATTAAGGTAAAATTGCTCTAATTTTATAACTATCATCGATCATGTTCCGCAGAAACTTGTTACAACTTGATTGCGTACGGTGTGTGGGCTATCCTACGAAATCTATGTTAATTATTTTAAGTTTTTATAACATCATACAGGGTAGAAATATAAACTAATTATTCGTTATTGTGTAGTAGGTGAATTTTAATTTTAGTGAAATTTAAAATACTATAAAGTAAATGAAATTACAAATTTTACAGCGCCCCCCTAACCCACATCAACGCCCCTCATTTTTTCCTAGGCCCCTTAACGCCCCCCTCTAGGTTTCAAACGCCCCCAAGGGGGCGTTATCGCCCACTTTGAGAAAGACTGGCCTATATCAATAAACAAAAAAACGCTTTCCTACCGTTTCTTATTTTACAATGGGACACTAGAGACTACAATTTACACTAAATACTAGGGCATTTAAAGAAAAAAATCTTCAGAGGCTCACATAAACAACAATACAAACGCGGGTACAAACAGCTCAGCCGTACGTAGGAGCATTTTACGGGCCTTAAGCCGTTCAGACGATTTAACTGACACTCGGCCCACTCTCACACGGTTATGAACAGTTAGACATCTTATTGGATTTGCAGTGAAATGTGGAAATGAATAAAACCATTGTGTTTATCATTTGAAATCACGTGAATCTCCGGCTTGGAGTTTTCCGTTGCAGCTGATGGAAAGTGGGATTAATACGATGATTTTTAAGGACTGCCAGACAATGCGTATGAGGTCTTTTCGAGGCAAGATTGGACTTCTTTACAGCGCGTATGTGACGAGATAGGCTTCTTACTGGTGGTAGAACCTGTTGTGAGTCCGCACGGGTAGGTAACACCGCCCTGCCTATTTCTTCCATGAAGCACTAATGCGTTTCGGTTTGAAGGGTGGGGCAGCCGTTGGAATTATATTGAAACCTTAGAACTTATATCTCAAGGTGGGTGGCGCATTTACGTTGTAGATGTCTATGGGCTCCAGTGACCACTTAACACCAGGTGGGCTGTGAGCTCGTCCACTCCTCTAAGAAAAAAAAAGAAAATTAACAAACAAAATGACCGTATTTATGCTCAAAGCTCTAAGGAAGCTTACCAATTAGTCGACAGAGTGCAACATGGGCATTATCCGACTTCAGTGATGGTTTGGTGGGGTATTAGCTATGAAGGAGTGACTGAGCCATACTTTTGTGAAAAATGTATCAAAACATCGGCACAAGTGTATCAAGATACCATTCTTGAGAAGGTAGTGAAGCCCCTTAACAACACCATGTTAAATAATCAAGAATGGTCCTTCCAGCAAGACTCGGCACCAGGTCATAAAGCTTAAATTAAATTATTTTAATTAATTAAATTATTGTCTAATTATAACTGCATAAGTTGATAAAAAATGCTATGCAATAGCTTTACCGCGGCAGTCCCCGAGTGACATTTATAATATTGAAGCCTTGGCGAAATTTGTTATTATAGAGGGCTAAGATAGTCTTTGACAATAGACCCTTAATAATGTTCAAACTTAGAATTTAAATTAATTTATAGTAGAATTTCAACTACCGGGCGACTAGTCATTAAAAAAGGTCACAGTAGCGAAATAAAAGCTTACAAATTCGTTCCGTGAGTGTAAAACAAATAGAGCACCGTCATTACAAGTGCACTGTGCTGAAAGAGGCTGCCGGCTAGTTAGGTCTCGGAACATGAATATTCAACACCGAACGTCCTACGTACAAAAGGAACTTGTATGAAGGAAAAACTTGTATGAAGCTCACATTTTGCTGACGAAAAACCTCTGCGGTAATATCAGACCGCTGTTTTTTTAAAATCTTCTTTTCATTTTAAGCTGAAGAGCTCGCGATCTATCTGGTGTTAATCGGTTACCAGAGTCCATGGACATCAACATCATTAACACAAAACTACTGAAACTTGAAGTTGAAGCCTCAATTAGATTGAAACAATGATTGCCGGTGGTGCTAGTATTAGCAATGATCTGAAGTGACGCTGATCATTCAAGTGAATGATTCCGGCTTTGGAATGAACTCCCCTCCACGGTGTTTTCCGAGCGCTATGACATGTCCTTCTTCAAACGAGGCTTGCGGAGAGTTCTTTATGGTAGGCAGCGGCTTGGCTCTGCCCCTGGTATTGCTGACGTCCATGAGCGACGGTGACCACTTACCATCAGGTGGGCCGTATGCTCGTCTGCCTACAAAGGCAATAAAAAAAAAAAAAAAAAAAAAAAAAGTGAGTAAGATGCTCATCTGCCTTTGATAGCCAAAAATGTTTAAAGGATGAAAATATTAAATCGAGATAAATATCAAGTCACATCTGGCCTCTGCCAAAAGCAATAAAATCAGTACCCATTGTACTATTTATTTATTTACTTCAATTACATTACCATATATAGATCATTCAACCCTTCAGCTTTTAAGGTACTCAAAATTCAGATTAGTCTAACTTTTTTGTCATTCGTTCTAAATTCCACTAACAGGGATGCGGTCACCATGATGGATCTCGTAAAGTTTAGTCCTAACATCAATCAATTAGGATTTGGGGATCGATTCAACTGGAAGCATAAAGTTGGACATTTTAATATTACAGATTGTTCGCTATGCTTCCAACGAATTGATCTTAAAAACCATCTTCGGACCACATTAAAATTTTAAGCTATGGAATATTAATAATTCAACAAAACTTATAAAATATAAAAATAATCGCAAGGGTCAACCACTCCGCAGTGCAATGGAGCAGCCGCACCCCGGGGGAACCGCCTGCATGATCACGGTATCTCGACGCCAAGTAGGTATGATTTAGTAAGAGAAATACGAGAAGGTCTATCAACTGTGTAACACTTCGTCACCGCGATTCAGGAATTGTTGAATTTACGTGCAGCGACATCTGTTGATAACAAACTAAATAGAAATAAAAGAAACATGGCGCGTAACGGAAGAAATTAAGATGGCGCGTAACCGAAAAACGTTACATACGTTTTTTCCTCCCTACGTCGATAAAGAAGTTTCACTTCAACTATTCTAATTTTTCATACTCTGAACGGAGAACACGAAAAATAATTTGAACAAAAACATTTTGGGCAAAAGTACTACAGTAGACTTTATATTGATCTACATATTTTTGGTGATATAAACGCACAAGGTTTACTTTGCATTTCAATAGCAAACACAAAGTCGACGCGAATACTTCGTAAATATTTTGAATCATTATTCAATAACAGACACGTAGTGCTAGATAAAACTGTCACAACAATATTCTGCTACAAGCTTATTTCTTTTGGATCAATCATATCATTTGTTAGTATCGATTTGTATGTAATTCAAACAACTATTCGATTTCTGTGTAAATGACAAGCCACATTCTCTAATACGTTTGTGCATGCATAGCTAAATAATGAATTATTTAGCATATTTTGTCTCAAAACAATGTTTGTATTTTAAAAATTATTACCACGCACCTCTTGGTGAAATGGTGATTGCTTATGCCTATAAATTTTAAGTATACGAGGGGTACAATTAGTCGATGCATTTTTAATAGCGCAATGTAAAACTTAAAAATTCTCGAGGTCAACGACTCACCCCGTAACATGAGAGTAGCAATAGTAGACCTCTGCATTCAACATATTCTTAGTACGCTGTGTTCGTTATCACACTAAGAAAACTCATTTTATCTTTTGTTTTCAGTATCACCTTGCAAAAAGAGTAACCTGAAACATTCTAGCAGTCTTAAAACTATCCATAAATCCAATCCATCCATCTAATAAACATTTGTGGAAATTGGTATTTTTATTTCGGGTACAGTCATTTCAACATATGTTTATTTTTTTTACTTAAAGCAATTATTAAGCTATTGCATAGCTTTTATCGCGGGCTTTTATCGCGGCGATCGAATCAAGAAATTCCGTAACGAAAATAAAACCTAACCTAACTCCGCCTACCATGTAGCTCGCGTTCAACACATTCACACGTTGCGCTTGTGTAGTGTTTATAATTAAGCGCGCGGCACGACGTCGCACTGCATGCGCATCATGAAGAGTCTGCCCATCTCTCTCTCGCGCGGTCTAGCTTATGAGTGTGTCAGTTAATGTTTTGCTTTTGTTAATGTTTATAAATATAGCGTGGTCTTATTTTATGATTGTTTCAATATTACATTATTATTGTCTAATTATAATTGCATAAGTTGATAAAAAATGCTATGCAATAGCTTTACCGCAGCAGTCCCCGAGTGCCACACGTGTTTTTTTTTATACAGTGTTTCAGAGCTAAGCAAATAACACTCAACATGAAGACACGAGTAGATCTGATACGGATTTTTCTAAGATTGCCTAGTAAAGCGGTTAAACCAACTTCACCGAAATAACCGATTCACTTTAAATTAAAATAGAATATAGACAGAGTTCTTTGACGACATACTAATACAATACGACAATGTTTTGTTACACCATCTCTTTATTACACTATAGTGTGTCGTAGAGTAATATAATCTGCCCTAATATTAAATTGAATGTTTACGGATCGTAGCCCGTAGACATCGTAGACCCTCGTAGCAATTTATTTTTAACACGGTAGCTCGGATAATGCGCTACGGCGCTACGAAACTGCCTAAAGTACGTAATCGCGGAGACTACGAGATTCCTGTCTAATAGTTACACTATGCAGAAATTGAACAGTATGACAATTTTAAAGAGCGTATTTCTATAATGATGACACTTACTATCGTAAAACCCAACCTTTAATCCACCGGTAATAGGGTGTAGCCATCAAGGGTAGTACCGTCACCTCACCTATTTCTGCCGCAAAACAATCAATTGTTTCAGTTTGACAGCTATTTATGGGAATTGAGATTTTGGTCTCGTCCCGTAAAGTGGGTAGTGGTATATAATATTTATTGGCTTCAGTAACTACTTACCTATAATAGAAAGATCGTATTAATATTAAAATCATTTAGAACGTTCATTTATCTACTAAGTTTGGAAATACGTTAGTAAACTTGTTGGGAAATATCGCATTAATCTGCTACTCATTTGCCGCGCGAGCGAACCACTTCGTTATAGCATTACTGATGTATTTTGTATATTGTACACGAATCAATGCCCCAACAAAATTTTCCCGAATAAACACGATGAAGACTTGAGCAATACCAATAGTTATTTTATTTGTAATCGATGATTTCGAATCAAAAGCTCAGAAGGAAGTGGTTCTCAATCCGAGTTGTTTTATTTAATTAGGTAAGTTATCTTTATCATCAAGTATTATATTGTGTTGTTGGGAAACGATTTCCAAACACAAAGCCGATCAGTAATTTATATATTAATACGTAAACCAATTGCGCGGACGGGTGAGTATGAAATTTCTCACACTTATAGGGCATATAGAGAATTAGTGCAGTATAAATTTTTTTTTTAATTATGCATAAAAAATAATTAAAATTAAAAACATTACACACACTACCATATATTTGACACAACACATAGGTACTCTTTGTTTATTCTGAATTGTCAAACTTTTGTTATTGTTTAAAGTCTGTGGTCAAATTGAGAATAGATTAATATTGTTTGTCTATGGTGTAATTTTGGCGAAATCTGTGATTCTATTAAATAAGTAGAATACTGTTTGACAATAGAACCATAATTATGTTTAAACATAAAATTTCAATTCATTATAGTCGAAATTCGACTACGGGGGGAACACTAATACTGGTAATTCGATACGCAAAAACGAAATCGAAAATTTAATTTATTATAATAAAAATAATAATAACTGGGAACAAATCACGGATAGTCATTCAACCCCAAATTAGGATGCCCTGTGTCATGGGTACCAGAGACTAAGACACATTCTTATATACGTTTGAATATATACATCGATAACAAACACCCAGACAAAGAGCAAACAAAGCTGTTCATCACCAAAACCACGACCCGCAGCGGTGCAGTCAAGGTCGTTAGCTCCTGCACCACCGGATCAGTCAAGCATTTCTCCAACCTCTATACATGCTACGAAACATAACATATTTAAAATGAACTGACCGGTATCTATGGCCTCATGCGTCGCGTAGAAGGCTTTTGGGATCCAATTTCGAACTTTGGTTGCGGGCTTACGACATACGTAACACAACGTGAATGCTTCAAACAGAAACTGACTTGCGGTTGAAAGAAAGGTTGAAGTCGTCGTGGCCTAAACGACAAGATGTCCGGTGCATCCTTGGTAGTGCATTGGAAGATAACATTGTGTAATAAAATCAAACCAGCAAAATTATAAATTGTATAATTACTGGTGGTAGGATCTCTTGTAAGTCCGCACGAGTAGGTACTACCACCGCGCTTATTTCTGCCGTGAAGTAGTAATGCATTTCGGTTTGAAGGGTGGGGCAGCCATTGTAACTATGTTGAGACCTTAGAACTCATATCTCAAGGTGAGTGGCGGAATTTACGTTGTACATGTTTATGGGCTCCATTAACCACTTAACACCAGGTGAGGTGTGAGAGCTCGTCCAGTGATATAAGCAAAAAAAAAAAACTCGTGTGGGTCTCGGGGACTGCCGCGGTAAAGCTATTGCATAGCATTTTTTGTCAACTTATTCAATTATAATTAAACAGTAATAATTTAATATTAAAACAATAATAAGACCACGCTATATTTATAAACATTAACAAAAGCAAAACATTAACTGTCCCCTTCACACTCATAAGCTAGACCGCGCGAGAGAGATATGGGCAGACTTTTCATGATGCGCATGCAGTGCGACGTCACGTCTCGCGCTTATTCAAAAACACTACACAAGCGCAACGTGTGAATGTATTGAACGCGAGCTACATGGTAGGCGTATTAGGGGTAGGGGTATTAGGTTTTATTTTCGTCACGGAATTTCTTGATTCGGTCACCGCACTCAAAACCCGCGATAAAAGCTATGCAATAGGTTAAAACTTTTTAAAACAACATGTATTTATATATGATTAACTTCTTTCCTACCTTGTTTTCAGACAGCTGTATTTAAGTCTTATATTTCACTCGAAAAACGGGCATCTTCTATCAAATCAATAAACGTAAATCGATTTTACAATATGTCTTCGTTTATCAGACTGAATTTAGTGCGGAGTAAACAATGATCTGTATCAGATGTAACTGACAGCAAACAATGCAAACATTGTAAACAAGTCCTTGATTGGAGCTTGCATCCCTTCCGGGGCCTTCGCAAGTGAGACTGACCTATATACACTCGGCAAGTCTCTGTGCGTGACGTCATCATAATTGATTGATGATTTCGTGAGGCAAGCGATAGTGACGGGCATAACTACCATTGTTGTTATCGATTTGTAAACAAACTTCGTATTTAGCACGCCCATCAGTCCGAACATTTCAAAGTCGGTTGTGGATGCTACTGATTCTAATTTCGAACTGTGTGTGATGGGATAATCTTTTTTTTTTAATTACTGTCTAAAATTGTTACCCTCTTAATACCGTGACAACAAAATATGTCAATTCCAGATCACAGCATTAATAATATGGATTTGAAGTAAAAATTTAGTTTCTATTTTTGAAATCGATCGCCTTGTGAGTCGAGTGGTCATTGACACATACCTTATGATTCAAATTCAAATTTTTTTAAAATATTTGATATTCAATATCTCTGTACTGAAGGGTACCCTCGAGAGGGGAAACGATTAAAAGGACGACCGTTCCAAAGGTGGGTAGACGATATAAAAGCCGTTGCAGGCTCTACGTGGAAAAGGAAATGCCACGACCGGAACTTATGGCAGGATTTGGGGGAGGCCTATGCGAAAGCAAAACAATCT